CATATATGCTCAAATATATGGATGTTCCAGTTAATGATTTCAAACGTTTACTTACTTTCACTTGAACAAAGTCATAACTTATCTGTTAGGCTTGCAATTTATGTAGGACATACGAGAAGAAGTTTAATAGTTTCATGTGTACAAAATAACTTAAAAGAATTTTTTTTAATATATGAAAAGTAACTTAAACATACAAATATGAAATGAAGATGAAATTTCTTTCATGAAATGAATGCAAAGTTTTAAGTGAATCTTTCAAAGTTTAATCTGCTCATATGCTAAAAGACAATTTATCTCATCTTGTGTTCACTAAGGGCAATCCAATCTTTCTGAAAATTGTTTCTTTATTTTACATATGAAATTGTCGACATCTTAAAGTGGTTAGAAGAACTATTTTGAATTTTTTTTTAAGAAGCACAACAAAAGCATGGTAGCACGCAGAACTTTGCACTTTTTTCTCCTTGGTCCCTCTTCCCGAACTTCAACAAAACGCCCGTTTTTAAGCTCAAAGCAACAAGTCCAAAATTTCTTGCACATAAAATGAATAATATGAATAAAGTTAAAAAAAAATAAGGTCGCAAATGCCCTTGGTAACTGGAATGCGGATGCATGCCTTGTAAATTTCATGCTTCCATATTAGTTATTATTTTGGTTCGCTCTTGGGATTATGCACTTCCCAAATTTTGTTGTTTCATATTGGCAGTCACATCATTTTGTTGTTTGTCATCTGACTTTGAGATTAAATAATAATTACAAGTTTATGGAAAGGTTTAAGCGAAAGGATTGCCTTTTCAGGATGCTACGTTCAAGCCTGTCGACTATTTCCAATATATTGCCCGCATGGGCCGTTAATTTTCGCGCGGTATAAGTAGTTTCGACTTCTTTCCCGACATCTTTCATAACTTTCGATGCTTCGTATGCATGTGAGATGACGTGTCTTAAATTTCCAATTACTGTTGCTGTAATAATAAGGAAAAGCATATTATACTAACAATTAGGTTGGTAATTGTGACTTCATCCTGAGGAAGACCATTTTCATTACCGCTCTACCTTCTGCCATATTGCACTTTTTCTACAACAGCTGATCTGCCCTTCTAGGATGCTTTTGCACCGTTAAAAGAAAGAATACCTTCTACGTGTTATTATGTTCTCTCCAATTTTCTTTCTCGATAACTAAATAAGTGATAAATAAATCCTATTAGCCTGTGATCGTAGGGCGATAGTGCCCGTTTTAAAATTGATGCGATTCTCTCGCAACAGTTAGAAGTACATGTTTTTGCGTTTTTAAATGGCGGACTTGGTCAGTTCAAAATATCTATGATAACAAATATATAGTTTGACATGCATTGCATTTATTTAATATTAGTTTGGGGAAAAAGAAATCCATTATTTTTATATGAACTTCAGGACTTTATTTAACATGATTCGGATTGTCCGATTTGGGTCAAATATGCACCGTTTTGTTGTATGATTTGTTGCCATTTTAAAAGTAACTTCAAAATGCCTCTCTCATAGAAGTCCTGGTCTCTATTTGCAAAAAACCTTAGTAGTCGATTTTCACAATCCTCCCTAGATTCCAATTTTTTATCATTAAAGAAATTTTGCAATGCAAGAAAAAGATATATAATGAAAATATAAAGGGGGCCAGCAGGTTGACGTGTTTCTTCAAAATACTTTTACTCGCTAGCCAAGTTTCCTTGCTATTTTCTATTAATTATTTTCTTAAAAAATATTTGTCTTAAGTAAAGCAATAATTTTTAATTATCCTTACCTTAGAAATACTTTGCCAAGATTGAGGGAAAATTTTTATTTCTCCTGCGAGAAATGCCACTGCTACGGCTATGCGCATACAGCTCTTATATTGTTCCTATTGCGATATGTGTCGTTGGGAATTTTTTCAAACACTTCCATCGTTACTTCGTGGGATTTACGTTGAACACAAGACCGCAGCCGGCTACGCTTTCCAGTGAATACGCAAGAAATGACTTAACATTTTACCTGTTTCCTGTGAATTTACACTTAACACGTTGGCGCTCATTATACCATACACCGCTTGTGGTACAGTCAGTGCAGACGTACGTAACACACAGAAGGCCTTAATATAGATCTACGTTTTATTATACCGATCGATTCAGAATCATAATCTGAATTGATCTAAGCCTGCCTGTCCGTCTGATGTCTACCCATGTAAATTTGTATTCAAGCTACAAGTCGAAATGTTGTAAATATTATGGTGAAATTTAGTACGTTGACGTTTTTTAATCAAGGACGAATGCTTTTGCAAATGGTTTCGATCGGTAAAAAAAAAAAGAATAAAGATAAAGATAAAAAATACGTTTTAATAGTAATATCATATAAAATTGAACACTACAAAATTTGCACCGCCTATGCCTAAATTTGGATCCCGCCCTATATAAGGATTAAAATTTTACCACATTAGGTTGCTTTCCCATAAATACGCACATGAAAAACATGCCTTTATATAGAAACAATTTTTTGTTCTATAATGAAATAAGAGTTGTGTTAGACAATGTGGTGCATGGTATTTAACAGTCGGCCTTGCTTGACTATAATGTTTGCATGTGTTTTAAAATCAGTGAGTGCTTCCACACTTCTTACACTCCTTTTTTCTGTTTTATAATCCTAAGAATGTGGACATCGCGTGCATCTACAAGCACATGCAATGGGCGTCTATGGACGTCATTTACGTTAAGGGGTTAAACAGGATATAGATGAAAACGTGAACATAATATTCGATTGGTTAAGGAATAAAATAAATTTTCATATCGCCTAAAGAAGCCTGTATGTATGCATGCGGAGCACTCATGTAAAACACTATAAAAAACATATGCATCTTTCAGTCTTCAGGATCCTTGTTTTCCATTTATTATGTTTTAGCTTGAGATGTCGGGTTTTAAAGATTCGTTGAAGAATGCCATCACATGTTAATAACTAAATATTACCCACTTAGATACGTAAACATAGTTCCCTGATTTTGTCCCAATAGAGCGCAACAGTAATAGTTCTGGAAACTATATATACATATAATTATCGGTGCATACATACCTAATGCAAGCGAAGAGTAAACGTGTAATGATATCGAATTCGTCGATGAAAACATTCAAGATATATATTTTCTTTCACGTCAGTATTCTCATATGCGTAATGAATACGAGGAAAAATTACCCGAAATATCAATAATTGATTGATGTGTCTGCATTTGCTACACATAATCGAGATTTTTACCTTTCTATATCCTATAACAGGCCATCGCGACGTCGCATCCAATGTTAGATAGCAAATTTTGAAGCAGTAACGTCTTAGTTGATCGTACTGTATATCCGAGCTCTTTCCCAAATTATCATGCAGCCCTTGGAAAGACGGTCAAAGTGATGGATGATGCACACCTTCAGATCAACTAATCCACAATTTCGAACTTGCATGTATTGAAGGTTCAAGTGCGACATTTCGTTGAAAAACGTGTTAGCCCTATTTGATAAAGTAATACGGACCAAGTAATAAAACTTTCAGAAGAACAGTAAAGTCCCGCAGCACTCCCTATTCTCGTAGGCTTAGGCGCTTTAATAATATCACGAATTAGAGCAGCAGGTTCCGTATAAATAGACACATCGGCATGAGGAGGAATATACGAGCACCTAATGAACACAATCTTATTATCCACTTTCATCCCTATCGAAATGAATTCAATATCCGATGTTGTCATAAGTTCAAGCAAACAGGATGAAAATACTACTGAAATGGCAATTAAAACAACACTCTCTGTTCGATCTACTCTATCCCTTCCAAAAACATGGAAGTTATCTCGAAAAATTTTAGATAGTACAAATTCGGATTTCAGCTAAGTTTCAGTAAAAACCATGCATGAAAATTTTGTACCAATTAAGGTAAGCGTACGTACGTATTTATTTTAGAACTCAGGCTCCCAACATTTTCGTAAATGACAGATAGTAAACGTATGGACATGCTCAGTGTTTTGTGGCTGGATGCGTTACAGAGATTTTACTACGGGATTTGTTTCTCAGAATGAGTTCCTTAAACCAAGCCACATTTGGCCACAATGATTTACTCAACATATTGCTGTGGGTACAAAAATTCTAAAAGACGATATAGCTCTAGGTTAAGCTGTTGACAACTTGAAGATGACTTTAGATCAAACGATGGAATTTTTCCCCGCCAAATAACTCATCATATTCCCACAAAAGGGTTTCGGCGCTAGCCTGAAGATAAATATAGTCTTTCTAGATGGGATAGCCATTTAGGTCACGGTATTTATAACGCGTGTATCAGAAGCCACAAGTGGCGAATTTTTGATAGGCGAAAAAGTAGACCTCGAACCTCTACTGGGATAATTCAGAGCTAGAGAGGAAGAGTTAAGAGGGGAAGAAGTTTCTTTATATCTCTCTCTTGTAGTGAATAAGAGAAGAGGTTTTTGTCAAGAGAGAAATATAAAGAACAGTGTCCGTATTGCCAATTTGAATAGCAATTGTGTTCTTATTAACAATAGGTAGGTCCAAATCGGGATTATTCTCCACCTTCAAAAAATTTGCTTGAATACTAAAAAATTAGTCCTTTCGATTCCATTTTCTTAGAAACAGCGATATGAGAAGGGTTTAAAAAAGTTGCCCCAGTCGAACCAAATTTTTCATACTAATTTAGAAGGTCAAACTGCTATTACTCAGTGAGCAGAAAAGTGGACCGATTCGAACCATTCGTCCTTGGGTCAAAAGCAAATTTTATAAAAATATCTGTATTTATATAACCTGTAGATTGAATACGAAAATACCTGGACAGACAAACTTATCCCGATTCAGCAAAAGATTCCGAAAAATTGTTGTAATTCCGGGTACACATCAAGGTCTTTTCATATAAATAATCGAAAATCATCTAAAAATATTCCCAAAATATTTACATGTTTCATAATATTTTTTTTAAGCTGAAAAGTTTCAAAAAAATCGGATGCCGACTTGCAATAAGACCACTTTGTATTATATTTGTTGTATTTGTCAAAATTATAACTGGCCTCCTAGGCTTACAATTTGTACAGAATACATTACATAAAGAAAACTTCAATGCTATCAACGCTACCATAACATAAATCGAAGGCAAATGTATATAAAAAAAAAAAAAAAAAACTGCATCTGTTTATAAGACAGCAAATCAAAATGTTTATCTAAGTAATACTTCTTTAGTTAACTCTTTGAATGAATGTCTTATACGTTAAGCGAATTCCGTCTCTTTTGAGAACTAATAGGTTCAACGCGATGGCATTGCTCGCAAACCGTATCAATAGTATTGTCCTCTACCGAGTATTGTGCGGGATTATCGAATGCATATGGATGCGAACCTTCCAACGGGGTATGTTTTAGCCAGCGAGGAGCTAAACGTAACATAAGTATTGCACCCAGAGGAGCTGTAAAAATAATGGCTAATACCGATATAATTAATACATTGCTTGCCAGTAATAATTTATCTGCAGAAGCATTTAACGACCGGGCCAAATCCAAAGCTATCGGACCCAAAGCTGCCTAAAATTAAAGAATAAAAACAAAAAGAACCAAAGAAATCATTAAATGGGGCAAATAACAGTTTGTTGTTTTTGCTTTACATATGTAAAATATCGTTGCAAGACAAACATTAACGTTTTAATTAAATTTTTATAAGAATTTCCTTCAAAATTTGAACTTAAGGGAATTTTGGTCTCTTTCCGTTACTTTAATTTAATTCATTTGTTATCACATTATTCTTTTGCTCCCTCTATACACTGTCCATGGTGTTCTTTTATTGTTTACGCGCATCTGAGTGTTTCCCCCATTAGCAGTATTTTTATACAAAAACAAAAACAAAATTTATTCATTTCGGTTTCTGGGTAAGTGCAAGCCATTTGCTTACAACCACACATGTATACATTCATTCATACATATATATCTATATCATAGTTGCATTTGCATGTATATATATATATATATATATATATTTATATATGCACATATATATGTATACGTACGCATATAAAATGAAAAATATGCACATTACTTAAGACTTTACTCAATTTTCATGCTTTCACACACCGACACTATCGCACCCAACAAAACGCAGTTTCCTTATGCTTTTCATTCATATTCTCATTGATTCGTTAAAAAACAGCGCCTCCATTTTCTTTAATACATTCTGCCTTGCATCATAATCTTAAAAAGAAAAAAAAAAAAACAAGAAGAAATATATGCACCTACGCATACAACCGCATAACAATATACTTTTAGTAAATATCTATCGCGTCCCCAAAAATGTGTTTTTAATGACGAACTTCTTCTCTCTGTTAAGTTGTATTATATCACCAAACAAGAGACTCCTTTCTATATATACACACACATATATATATATATATATATATATATATATTTATAGTTATGCATATAAATGCGTAGACAACATTTTAATGGCACATTCGTTTCTCTGGAATTTTTCATAACACTTTATTTTTTCTTGTTATGTTTTTTTCCTCTTTTGGTAGCCAAAATCATTTTCTTATACAAGATATCTTCAGTTCATTTTCATAAGCCTTGTCTCTTCTCTTTTATATAAATGTACGTGTACATTTACACGTTCCTGTACTCATTTAAAAATGTATTTTTCGTTGAATTCAACCACAGCAACAGGGTTCATATTACGTATCTTCTTTTAAAAATTTTCCTTTGCATAGTTATTATATTCTTGATTTTTATATCAAGTAAAGAAGTGTATGCAGCTTTTATGCTGCCATATATCATACGTTGGGATAACGCTCAGGTCGTATTGTATGCATTTTATTCTTTTCGTTCGCGAATATGGTTTACGTTTCATACGAAGAAGATAGAAAGAATAGAAATCATATTTTTATGTCTTGAAGACCACTCTAATATTCTATTATTATTCTATTATTATCTATTTTTTGCGAATACAAATAATGGGAATGAAAAAGCTAGCAATAAAATGGTTACTAATTAACGGCGTTACTATTGTTATATTGCGAACAGATCCACTAGGCGTAGGTTGAATCTGTAGAAAAGGTTGGGAGGCGTTGTCATCCAGTTGTCTTCGGTTGTACATGATGTCTTGTACTTTCGTGGGATAGCTGTCACTTCAGATGGAAATTGAAACAAACATCTTCAGCTAGAATATTACTGATCTTTTCTCCACAGAGTTCATATAGAGTTACCGGATGTATTCATCTGCTGAAACTACGGATATTATTATCAAGTCCATTTTATAAAAGATTCACTGCTTTAAGCGCTACCTTGAATGACAATGTTTTTGTGATCATTGAAATGTCAATTATTTTCCTTGTCCAAAAGTATGGTTTACATATCATACAATAATTATAAACTACAAAAAATATTTTTCTAAAATATTACTGCTCGGTCTCTTTTTTTTCTACCCGTCCGAATTGGATTCCATAAAAAATTCGGGGTAAAGAAGACATTGTCATTGAATACACTTGTTACCTTCGCGTCTTCTTCTTCTTTGCTCGGAGGTATAGCGTTCGTCAACAAGCTGAACTTGACAAAAAGAAAAGGAAATTGTGAATGGATTCACTATCACAATTTACATCTGACATGTGTGTGTTTTTGACATTTTATTAAAAACTGGGCGTTAAACAAAAGGTATACTTTGCCTTGATCGCTATTAACTTCGGATATCTATCGTTGGAAAATGTACCCTTTAGCGAATTTTATGTATATATATTCCGTAAACGCAGAAGTAAGTGTTATGACATGGTCTAAGCTTGTTGTCCGTTAATACAATGATGTCCGATGTTTATATAAATATGTGGGTCCCTGGGTACGTGGGTGCAAATTAATAAAGTTTAATAAATGAACTTAAAGAAAGACAGTTACTAGATTTAGTATGTGATGCCTATTTCAGTCTTCTTATTTCATTGGATTTATCTACGGGGATCTTTAGCCTTTAGTTTTATTGAAAACAGACGATTGTGGCATGAGGAGTTAGGCGAATGGGTTTGGGTTGATAATTTTGAAGTTTGTCAATATTCAACCTACTAGCAGTTACCACAACTGTATGCCATAAATCCATTTCTGTATGAAAAGCATTGCTTCTTTAGATTAAACTGCGATGCAGGAATGCAGGATGCAGGGTTAGTCTAGAGAGAGAGGGAGAGAGAGAGAGAAAATCCTGTGAGAGTTATTATCTTGTCTTTAAGATATTTTATACAATTGTTGTTGGAAGTGTTTAACTTTAATGTCGTCTAAACTATTTAAAAAACTATAACCATATTTATTTCCTGCCTTTGTCTGAAAATATGCTTTACATATCATATCAATAAAATAGAAAAAGACATCTATTGTTATCGAAATTTGAAATAAAACTAATGAGCCATTTTCCCTCAAATTTCTATTAATTCTCTCGGAATACGTTTCAAGTCAAAGGCAAGGTAACTAAACGACCTAAATAGTGATATACTTGTTCGGTTTTACAAGGTATGGAAGGGCTGGAGGGATTATGTATAGAGTATCAATGAACCGAAAACCACTGGCTTTTTGTGAAAATGGTCTGTAAGTAAGGGTAAAATGCCACCGAAACGTGAATATTCTTTAACTTATTTATAATAACATTGCGTATCAATACTGCTGATGCACAAGTATGCCGTACGTGTATTTCGCTTTTTTCACTTCTTTGGAAGAGCAAAAGAAAAGAAGACAATGTAACGATGTTACAAAACACTGCGAAGCGTATGCATTAAATAAAGCGTTGATTTATTCGGAAAAATAATTTGCTGTGCAAATAAATCAACAGCTGCGGAATGTGCACTAAGAGGTAAAGTTACGGTAAATTTTTCAGAAAATCTTCTTTTTTTAATTGGCTTAAATGATTCCTTAAACAGTCATGAACTGACATAAAAAGGCAAAAGTGGGCATGACAAATCTTTAAATCAAAACAAAAAATTTGGTTATTCAAGCATAGTTGTATGGGCGTAGATGGGCACTTGAAACTTTAACTCGGCACGCAGCATAACTCACATATGTTTCATTATTTTTCTTTCGAGTTTTTCACAGCATCTTTAGAACGACCTTCTTTAGAGGATATACGCGGTAATCTTTATTCGCAAATAAACGCATTTTTTTTGTTTGAAAATTAAACTTTTCCACTCAAACGCTTGCCAGTCATGTAGAACTCAATATTTCTAAAAAATCCATCCTACATGTTTCTTTACATATCTACATATGTAGATTAAATAATTTTTTTGTTTTTCGTAATTTAAATTTGGAATAGTGACTGCTGGCCGCAGAATCCCACAAATTGGTTGGGCTTTGAGAAATAATATTTTTTTTAGTACTTAACACTAGAACTATGTTTAGGCCAATATGACCCTTGAACTTGAATAAAATTATTATAAAGCTTTTTTCAATATTTTTCAATGACTTTTATTTGCAAGAAACTAGTTTTTCTCGATCCGGTCTAGTTTTCAAGATGATATGTACTGAGTTTGATGATATGCGATGAAGTCACAATAATGAAGATAGGAAACTGAAGTGTAGCATAAGCATTCCTTGATCGATTAAGGGTGCAGGACTTAACATGAACAGAATTTTTTCATATTTTCGTCTACAACTTTGCGATCCCGTGAAAGTATTTCTGAAAAGCCGTAACCCTTATATTCGTCAGGATCATCGTCATACTTTGTGCAAAAATGATCTGGCCATGGCTACAATTCCCGAATATATTTCAATTCCAATTCATTTTCAATTTATATTAACACACGTTAACATTTCTTGAATCCAATTACAAATAAACTGAAATTGAAATTTTACCGTTAGTCGAAACCATTTTTCGATCAAACATGCAGCAAACGTGCGGTTTTTCGCCTATTTTTTGGCAGCAAATTTTCCGAAAAATTGTCATGAGATCATTAGTTCATGGTAGGTATATGCAAAACATTCGTAGTTCCAATATTCTCGACATCCGTCGCTAGATATTATTTTTCTGCTGCGTTTATTTGCAACCAAACAAGATTTGTGAGAAAGCATACCTTTTTGAAGCTCTTACAGTCATGTTAACTTTTAAAAGAAACTCACTGAGTGGCAAGTACTGTTTTAGTAACAAATGCGGGCTGGCCCATTAATAACCGTGACAAACGTAACGATAATCATAGGTCAAATAATTTAACTCATGAAGAAACATTATATTATCCACAACTTTCTTCCTAGGGGTTCATGAAAGAGAAACTGACAAAGACGAGGTGAACGTATTGTTGAGAATTTACCCAAACATTTTTGTTTCTTTATGGTCTTTAATTTGGTAAAATAAAAAATTTTAAATATTTCGCCTTAAATGGTTTGGTTTTTTGTTATTGCCCTAGGATTAAAAGGAGACGAACAATACTCTAAGCTAAATAATAACTGGAAAAAGATTGTTGTTATATTATGGGCAGAGAGAGAGAGAGAGAGAGAGAGAGATAGATAGATAGAGAAAAACAAAATTGTGATTACTGTTGCACGACACAACCAACATTTCAAGTGTGACAACCACACATTTAACCTAACATGGCTACAGTTAACCGCAATGCAGCATAACATATGAGCCAAACGGCTGCATAAGCAAACGACACCGAAAAGTATTTTGGAAATGCAACCAAGTAAAGCAAGAAACCAAATGAAACGACAAAAAATACAAAAAAAAAAAAACAAAACAAAACCTACGACAATAACAACAACAAGTCTACAAATATGAAATGAAACATTTAATATTATGTTTTCTTCGTTCTTCCTGTTTTTTTTTTTTTTTTTTTTCTGGTTAAGAGGGAATAGATTGTTTTTCTGTTTGTTGCTAGCAGTAGTAATGTTAGTAGTAGTTCTATGCTTTGCTGTGTCGCTTTGGTATGGTGTTTAAAACCACTGACAAGCCTCAAAAACTAACACAAGTGGCAACACTTTATTGTGGCAACACAACTATAATATACATAAATAATACATAAACAAAAAAACTCCGGGAGCTGTTGATGCCTTTCGCTGTATGCTTGTTCGAAAACTATGTTGTTATTGTACACTTTGCGGGCTTTAAGTTGCAAGTTTGGCCAATTCGAGTTAACCAACAGAGTGCAACGTATACCCGGCTACAACTTGATTTTGTTAAAAACTAACCGAAACATCTATGACCACACATACATTAAACACGCACACAAACAAATAAACACACAACAGCGCATAACACTTAAACAAACGCTAAGAGGTACTCGAAATTTGTGCAGTAGCAGCAAGAAGAGAGAACAAGCAAGTATTAAAGGCAGTAAGTAAGTAACGTCGCCAGAAGTTCAAATGACGAATCAGCTATGGTGAGACACACGAACGGAAACTTACTTGGACAGTTGCTTTGGGAAAACCGGATATTGTAATGTAGGCTCGTTCTTTTTTCGTCAGATGCCCGCCATACGTAGATACGTAGGCAAATACTAAACGAGACTGTAAATAAAAGACAAAATAAAACAAATGCAAAAAAAAAAAGCCAAAAAGCAAAGAAAACAAAAAATATTTCAATAAATTAAAAAGGAAAATAAAAAAGCATTACCAAGCTAAGAACCTACAGTTAAATTTATGGTTAGAATTTCGACTGTGCACTGTTATGCGGCCATTTTCATATTCAACTGGCCAAGAGCAAAATATAATATTTATGTAAAGAAATAAATATTAAATTTGTGCCATTGGCGCTGCGTTTATAACGGATAGGTACAGGAGCACTTTATGACGACTTTCTAAGTTCGAGGCATTTATATGCTTAAGAGACCCTACATGCAAACCGTGTCATTATTCGCGTTAATAAATTGCTAATATATTTATATTTAAATTTCGTACAGTTACGATTTTCACTATAAAATATTGACTTCGATATACTGAACTTATTTGACTTATTTGACGAAGATAGCACAATTTAGGCAATGAATCGCCAAGTCCGAGAAGATATACATTGCACTTAAGAAAGACTTCCACGTTTGCATATTTACCAGAGGACTTGCATACATAACCGGACAATTGTTCTAAAATCAAACTCAAGCTTGTCTGTCATCCCAAGTTTGTGTAAATTCTCGAAGCATGATTATTAGCGTCACTTTCTTAATAGTAATTTTTAAATTGTAATATATGTCTTTATATAATTCTTTGAAATGATTCTCGAAATTTAGACAACTAACGTTCAGCGTTTGAATGCTTCCACCTATATAAACCTTGTATTCATAGTATGGCCCTGTAGGTTTTGTTTGACTCTGAATGTTCGCATTGACTTGGACGGGCCCGTCTGGACATCGAAAAAGGTGTTGCATTCACCCTGTAACTGTGCAATCGAGTTTATTTTTTTTTTTGTTTTCTTTTCATTTTGGTAACAACAATATATAGCGACAAAATATTTTTGTAATTACCAAACTACCCAGTAACACCAGCAGGGCACCATAACTAACAACTTTAGCATTCAACACGGCAAAATTAATTTCCTTGCCAATGAGTGCGAATGAAACTGGTTTCAAAAATTTCCATAACAAATCAAGACGTTTCGCTACCGTAGACTGAAAATACATAAATAATAATAAAACAAAACAAAAATGTAATATATATGAAGAGTTAAACAAAAAAAAAAAATTACTAACTTAAATTATGAATATGAATGCAAAGGAAAAAGCATTAAAAGTTGAAAAATTTACAATTTATGCATGCTACCACGAGAAAGTATGCAAGAAATTTTAGTATTTAGAAAGCCTAACGGTAGGCAATAAACTTATTTCGTGACATTCTTTCAATGTAGACAAGTTGATAAATTCATACTATTTTACATTTTTATATGATATTAAAAGCAATTTAAAAATGATTAAAATTCCTTCCATATAGAATTAGAAATTAAATTATAGTTGCTTTTACCTGACGCAATATATTTACATCTAGGATTTCGCTCCTATTACTCGGATATACATTTAAAATATGTAATTATTCGTCGACTTGTTTATCAACATTTTTCAAATCATTTCATTTCATTTTCTTCATCATTTCATTTTCTTGTATGAATTATAATCACCCAGGCCTTGAATATACAGAGGTAGACAGTTATTTAAATTTTAAAATACGATGCAAATGTTTAGACGGTTTTTTTTGCTACGCCATCCAAGACGTTTTTCATTCCAAAAATCAGGTCACCTTCCTAACTGAGATGGCCATATAATAGAAGAATAGCAAGTTCACTCTTAAAGTGCCTTGAAATATGTTAAATCGGCGCAACAGGGGAAAATATATTTCTCTTTTTTTCTTCTCTATCCATAATTTAAAATCATGCAAGAAGCATGCATCATTTTATTTGATGACCTTAAACGTCGCCGCTTAATAGTTTCCGAATGTCAATGTTTTACACTATAAACTGTGCCAGAGTATATATTACGTGTCACCGACCTGGCAGCAAATTGCCTTTTGAAATATATTTTTATATCCTTCATCGAGATTTGGAGGTATCCTAATTTTATCAAAGTGCCTGCAGCAGTAGAATACTACAGAGGTCCTAATACACGAGATCGGGCAAATTTTTTTTTTTTTTTTGAAGTCGATGGGCACAGAAGATTTTGCCATAGTAGAATATAATTTTCTTACTTTTTATATATCAGTTTGCTGTGTTTTTGATGAAAACTCAAAATCGAGTAATACATTTAATCATTTCTCTTGATTAGAGCTGAGTAAAGTAATGGTAATTGTCCGCAAATGGATGTACACAGCAGTGCCTGGCAGAAGCAGCAGGTTGCAGTAGGCACGATATTCTTCTAATCCTTCTCATTAGGATGCGGGAGAATATTAGAGCACATCAATTCGTTATTTGCTACAAACTGCAGAATGTTCATTCTTTGTAGTGAGGTTGCATTTCAATTATCGTTATCAGCCTTTTCAAAAATGATCAATATTCATTCCCTTCGAAAAGATATATGCAAAGAGAAATTCAAGTAAAATGTCTCTTAATACGAATTAACAGGGTCCCAAACTTCAACTTATCCTATCTCTTGCCAGATGTCGTCGAATATTTTGCCTCTATTCCGTAAGAAATGCAAAAATACTTGCCAATGACAATAGTAGTTGGGCGCTGTTCAACTTCTTGCAAAATATCGGTAACCTGCCGTGATTCTACATCCCCTGCGAAGAATAGCTTAAGCATAGAAATTTGCATTCTCCCACCCCTTTATAGGATCGGGAGGTTACCCCGGGTTTCTCTCACATCGACTCTACTGTATACTTTATTTCAAAACTCTCTTCACGTCAATTAGCTTTAAACGTTAGTTCTTAACTTTGAAGATGATCCTCTGCGATTTATGTATTGCTTATGCTTAGTACGTTAGAGCTTCTCCTAGAGATTCTCGTAGAAGAATGAAACTTAGACAACTACTACCGCGACTAACAAAGTATTTTTCTTCTGCCCCTTTTGAGTGATCTATCATTTTATTGACAAAGCTTTTACTCACTTAACTAAAGAAACTTTCTTCGTGTGTTACTTTTTTGTATATAAATAAAATTCCGATAATAAATCACTTTAAGTATACTTCACTCTTTGCATTGCATAGCATCGGGCTCGAAAAGAATTCTCCTGAAATCATGCAAAATATTATAGTTTATTACTAGAACGTGAAAATATGCAACAATTCTATCCCACATTTCTTTCGTTTCCCTCCCTTCTTTTTTTGCTTTTTGACTTATGTTCCCGATACTCTCTTTATTAATGGCACATAATCTGTCCGGAAATTGTCCACAATATCAATATAGACTTTGAGAGAAAGTTTCTTTTTCTTGTATCTTTCTTTATTTTTTCATTTCACTTAAATCTATTGACAAAGCACTTGTTTATAAAGTTGTGTCTCTACTGTTTACAGGGTAAACATCAAACAATACTTAAATAACCCTTCTGAACTTACAAGTTGCCCGGTTTAGTACTGTATGTATGTCGATATAAACACAAATGTACATGCACTCAGTCTGGTTAAGGGAATAAACGTTACGGTTGCTGTTTGTTGTCTGCCCTCCTTAAACAACAATCGAGATGCTATTGTTTAACTGGATTTTTTAATTTGTACCATATGTTGATTTCGACATCCACATATATATATATATATATATATATATATATATGTGCTCTATTGTTAGTTTCTTACGTGTTATATTTTTTTTGCACTTCTTTGCACGGATTTTCTTTAGAGAGTGGCTATTAATGCACAAAAAGGAAAAAAGAAAAGAAAAACACTTTTTTTTTTTTCATTTACTTAAAAACATCAGCAATAACAACAATATTTCTGACACTTTTATGCACGAGTTTTAAAGGCTTTTATTTACAGAATTGTAAAAGATGCACAGGCACATATCCTCCGTACATATAAAAAAGGATATAAACGACAGAATAATTTCCTCAGCCTATATCTATGAAAATGGGGGATAGAAAGAGAGAGAGAGAGAGAGAGAGAGAGATAAATGGAACTTCAGTTTCTTGCAAATTTCTGTCATTTTTATTTTCATTCTCGTTATTCTTGGTCTTCTTCAGTTACACTCTCTTCTCTACACTTATCATTACTTTACGTACTTCTTAATGTTGCAGATGAATTTTCAGCTATTTGTGTAACCGTGTGTAACCAAATGCTAGTACAAGTGCAAAGGGGGCTGGCAAAAAAAAAAAAAATGCGAAGAGATAACGAGAAAAAAAATCAATTGTCATAAGCTGCCTTTGCAATTAAATGTGTCAACAAGATTGACTTTTTGATAAGATTTCTCGGTACTTTTTTCATAGCTTCGCAAGGAAAAAAGTGTGAAATGTTTTTAAAAGACTAGCTGGCACAGCAGCAGAGGCAATAGTACCGACAACAACAACAACAACAACAACAACAGCATACAAACATCGCAAACGATATATAAAACACTGTAGATAAAATAATGTGATGATAGACAGTTATATTTATGTAAGCAAACTCTCGCAACGGGTTGGAATAAATTTCTTTGAATTTTTTTTAGAATGAAATGCACTCAATATGACACTTGTGTGTCAAGATAATGCTCTCAACAAACTAAAAACATTATTTTGAGTTTTGCTGATAACGCCCGTACTGGGATAAATAATTATATCAGTGAAAAGTGCATTCATTTGCACAGAATGTTTCCAGCTCTCCAGTTATGAATATATATATATATATATATTCGTAGTTAAAAGTGTGCGGCTTATAGGGGGAAAAGGTCCAATTTTTAGTGCTTTACGATGAAGCCTTCCTTACAATTTGGCATAAAAATTAACGGAGCTATGGACTTTTCAGATTTTTTTGGGCACTAGCTTATGAAAAAGCTAAAGCGTATTTGGACCGTGCCAGCTCGCATTTTGAGCGCCATTTAATATGAAGTCTCCCATGAAAATGATGCCTTTGCAGGGGAAGAAAGCTTTTGGTACTTTATCGCGAAAATAAATAAAGGATTGTATAAGGTCAAGGCCTGCAATGTATTTAATAGCTGGCCATGTGAGTCTGATTAACTTTTTTATACCCATGGCGGAACGATGAGGAGTATATTTATATTGTCAAAATGAAGCGTTAGAGAGCCCACAAAGTGTATATATTCTTGATCAGCATCAATCTAAATCGATTTAAGGATGTCCGTCTGTCCGTCTGTGTAATAGCTATTGTGAATATTCCCCCAACCGCAAAAATGAAGATATCGACTTCAAATTTGGCAGAAACAGTGGAAGAGCTCGCACGCAAGTAGTTATTGGAAGTGGGCAAAATTGGTCGAAGGACACGCCCATAGCATGACGTAAACTGACTGACGTGCTTTTCTGTTAGTACAATAAGCTAAGCATTGTAGATTATGAACTACTCCTATCCAGGGTAACCACCATCACGGAACTTCAGCGAAAACAATTGAGACAACTAAGTCGAAATAGAACATCTCAACGTGCCAAAATTATATATCAACACTTTGACGTTTCGTCACCTATTGCAATATCTGCAATATCTCATTAACCATCAGCGTATCAGCGTTGTTTTGAATAATTGTTTTAATAGGAATAATGTGAATAAATATTGTTACGCAAAATCTTATCGGAACTTTAAAGGCTTTCTTTAATAAATATTTAATTAATACTTTAAAAGGAAAGCCAATCTCGTCTAATTTTTATGAATTACTTTAAATACCTTATTCCCCAACTGATTTACTGTCCTGTTGTCTTCCTAAACTAGCGCGAGTACAACGCTTTGTCGGAAATCTTCCCGTTTAAGACTTTAACCTTTATTTTATTGATGAAGTCTATGTCAGCTGCTTTTAACTTGATTTAAATCAAGCAAGCAATAAGTAGGCGATGGGTGTATAGAGATTCGCTCTAAGCTACAATCCGACCGTGCTCTTTATTATTATTACTCTTTGTTTTTTGTTTTTTTTTTTCATATTTTCTGCTTTGAATAAAAACAAATTTTAAGTATGAGTTTGAAGTGCATCTAAGTAAGGAGGATGAAGTGTTGTTTAGGGCTACTAAATTTAAATAATGAATGAAAATGAAATGAATTCATTAGTTTTTAAATTGTCAAGAGGAGCGAGGAGTAATAATGTTGATGCCATCACATTTCCAACGAAAGTCAAAACATTTTTATGCAAGTTCTTAACCCTTAAAAAGAACTATTGTAATAATTTTTCTCGTAAAAAACCAAACTTTTTCGCTTTGCATTTAATTTATATTTAAACCGAAAGGACGGAGGTTTGTCTTCTACGCAAAACATTTGTAATATCTTTCTTAATACAGGCTTTGCGGTGACAGTGACAGAAAGTTCACTATAACAAATTTAAAAAAAATAAACAAAAAAATAAAAAGTACATATCTGCTCTTTTCTATGTCTTTCCTACTCAATCACTTGGCTACGGTTTTCTAGTTGAGTGGAATGCTTCATTATCCATTGCACTGTATTTTGTATCCTTAATTGCAATTCGTTCTCTAGTGACATATTTGCAAAAGGATTTTTTCTTATTCCAGATAAAGAGTAATAATAATAACAATAATGGCAGAGGGAAGTATGTAAACTCTACTCTCAGCTGTATCTTATCTTTTTAATGAAAAAAGTTAAATGCAATAAGTGAAAAAGTAAATGATAAGTGAAGTGAACTATTTTTATTTGTCTTGAAGTGAATTTTTGATAAGACATAAATTAAAGTAAGCAGTGTAGTAACTGAAAACGATTAAGAAATTTAAAAATATACGGTTAGGTAAGAAAGCCCATGTAGAAGCAAACGGGTGGACAATTGACCTAAAAAGTAACGAGCTCCTAGTGCCAAGTGATCTCATAAAACGTATAAGGCCCGAAAAGAGTCGCATTCCAAGAACTGAAGATCATGCCAACCGTTCATCCAGTGAAGGTCAGACACTTTTGCCCAACGGGCTAATATATTACATTGATATATTAAAAGGTCAGACTCGTTAAGCGTTTAAATGGATATAAAGGCATTCCTGTCATTTTAAAGTAAACTAGTTCGACAGTAAAGGGAGTTCCACTTTACATCCACCAAACGGATTGTTACATTCAAAAAATACATGCGTAGAAAACCCGATGGAAACAGATGGACGATCGAAACATTTTGATGTTTTGCCCTAGGCCTGCAGGCCTATGGAACTAGCCAAGCAAATCTACAAAGCAAAAAACGAAAAAGTCGAAAAAAGAAACTTTGTTAGAATAGGTTCCCTAAAATTCGACTTGAGCTTACGTTTTGAAAATTTTGTTTTCAGTTAGAGTTAAAAATAGTTTCCCTGCGAAGCATTTGACCTGCTTAAGTTGTAATTACAGTCAACCAAATGCATACAACAAAAAAAGAAAAGCGGCATCTGCTTTATTTGTTAGACCTACATATCAAATATTTGAACATGCACCACTCAACAAATCACGAATTTAAAACGAAAACATCACACATCAACGAAAGACCAAATAAAATATATATATATATATATATATATATATTTATATATATAAATAAAAGTAAAACGGGAAAAAAATGAAAATGTATAAGGATCTCATTGCAAAAAAAAAAAAAAAAAAAAAAAACAAACCTTCAGTCGCAATGGATGGAAACTTACTTACTTACATTTTCATTTGCATGTCGCTCTTCGACAGTTAGCTTGAGCTGTTGACGCCTCCAACCGATGCCAGCTATAAATGCAAGTGTTACGCAACCCAATGCTCCAGCTGAGGTATAGTCGATAGCTTTGCTGCCCATCACCGAAATGGTGCCACCCAAGACGGTTAGAACAAAACGTAAACCATTTGCATACGTCTAAAACGAGAACGATAAGACCGAAATTTACTAAACCAAAAATAAGAAAAAAAATAGAAAAAATATTCGAAATTTTTTTTCAGCATATTAGAAAAATACTTGGATAGTCCCGTCGCCAATTCATGATAACTAAAGACTATTTTTTCTTTTTCTTTGACCAAAGGCCAGCTGCATAAATGTTATTTTGTCGCCATGCACGCTTATACTACCTACACACACATGTAATATGGTTGCATACGAGGCTTTCCGTTTTGTAAAATCCTTTAAATGAACTCAGATTAGTTTGTGCTGCGCTAGTATTTGTTAGCGGTGACCAGTTGTTTTTCAAATCGGTTTTTCGTTCAGTTATTTTTTTTTTTTTTCTAATAACTTGCACTTCAAGCTTGTAACTTATTTGTACGCTTTTGCTCGGGATAACTGTGGTATGTGATTTTTTTTCTGTACTTTTGATAATTCATAAGTAAACTACTGCCGATTTTTTGTATGCGACAAGGTTTCATAAGCATTTGAATTCTTACTCTATACAGATATGCTTTTGGAAAGCATTGCAATAGGTACATATATATATATATATATATATATGTCTTATATATCTACACATAAATAAATTGCAGTTCTGTAAAAATTAAGGAATATATAATCCCTCTAAGGGGAACCTTTGATGCATATCTCAAATATCTAGGATTTGATGGGTTTACATTGAAATATTTCTTTGCTTGGAATTTTCGATGGCTCTAAAAAACATGAATGGCTGAGTTGGTAAGAAACGCGACAAGCAAACTAATGTTCGTAGACTCAAATCTCAAATGCCGCAGAGACTAGCTTGGTCATAGCTAAAGTGATGCGCAGCCAGTAAAGGAACAACATTTAGCGATTGCATTCTCTTCTCATCGAACCGGGGTTACACGGGCATGTCCCGTGAGTGATTAGTCTCAATGCAAAAAAGAAAAGCTTAGATCAAATTTTATACAGTTATACGCTATAAGTTGTAAATCACGGATAATGTTGTTTATTTAAGAGATTTCTCCTTTCAACTGTTCTGCTCATTCCAACTATCCAAGGTATCCAAGGTTTCTTCAGCTAACCTTTTGCAAACTTGGTGCATTACATCCAAAAAAATGAACACACGAACAGGACTAAATCGGGACCAATCACGTTATGAAAACCACAACGCAATCGTAACGTTACAAAAGAAACGGTCAAATTAGTATACCATTCAATATTTTAGCAACGAGTAAGCGGTGAATATGAAAACCGCCCTCTATTTGTTTTACGCTGTTCGTAAATGAAAATGTACGTGAAAAAGCCTGAAGCGTTCATGGACTGCAAATAACATTTAAAAGGACAAATTCCGCTTTATTTCTCTCTCCTCGTTTCGTATTTTTATTTTTTTCTTTATATCATTGTGTAAAGCAAAAAAAAAGGTTTGAAAACGTTGTCAAAGGAACAAACGAATGAATGACTGAGCATGAATAAGCAAAACTTTACATAAATATTATATTTATGCCCATAAATACATATGTCAGCCAAGTCGTACACAATTTCATATATTAATTAATGAGAAAAGATAGAGTAGCGACAAGAGTATCTTACTCTTGATTTCACGATTTCATGGCAGGTATAAAATTCTGAGTAATGGACTGTGAATTAAATCGCTTCGTGTATGTGTCTGCATGGCCTGAGATGATTTTCATTTATTTAACATTTCTAACAAATCCATGCGCAGCAAGCGTCAGTTCATTGGAAGTATTGTTAAAGTGATTTCTCAATTTCTAATTCGGAGTTTTGTAGGAAATTTTGCTTCATCCATGTATGTCTATGTACGTTCGTATACTCTCTCTTTATCACTTTGCAAGAACTTTTGCCTTTTTAAGTAGTTTAAGCCACCTATGCATGGCTTTCCTTTGCTTCTCTTGCTTTTTTGGTTTTTTTTTTTTTTTTTTGTAAAACATTTTTCAAGCCATTGACATTTTTATTATCAGCTCATTTCACCTTTGCCAACAAAGAACAACCTCAAAACAAATTGCTTTCAACCAGCCATTCTAGCCCCAAACAACATTACAGGTATACCCCAAAATTTGCTCTTTCTCGAAACCTTTCCATCAATTGCTACATGCACCTGAATGTGCGTGCGTCGTCGACGAGATGATGTGAGAATGGAAAGATTGCACAATAGGATTGAATGAATGAATGAATGAATGAATGAATGAATGAATAAAAGAAAAAGCACTTCTCGTAACCAGTTTCACTCCACTAAGAGATCCTTTTTAACTCTTAAAGATGTGCGTAAATTGCAGCAAATTCAATTTAATTTATAAATGCAATTTCTCGAAAATGTTGTTCTATTCTTTTTAGTAGCAGGCTAAAAGACTTGTACCTTTTTACCAATGCCAACCAGCAAAGTATGCAACGAAAAAAAGCTGCATTTTCGTCTTGGGGTCGAGTCTTGCTTACCTACACACTACGACTGTGAGATGAAATTGAAATGTGAACGGTCGGAGGATGAAATTACTTTCTGGCCTAAGGATCGTTCAAAAAATGCTGACCCTTTAAGCCAATGGATAAATTTTGTAGCCGCTGTGGGATTTTTCAATCAATTTAATCGAAAGAGTAACATTAGTAACATTTTCGACAAAAAACTGTGGCTCTATCACGTCGTCAACGCAAAAATCCCTCCACATATTACGAACTAAGCCTCGTTGCAGTTCGAAAGATGGTTGGACTAATTTTCGACTAATAGATGAAAATGGATTTGCTCCCAGCTAATCAATGAAGAAAAGTTTCCCTGCAGGGTAAGGAGGCATGACCAGTACCTCTAGGTTTTTCAGTTGTGAAAGTTTCAAGAATAGGCGGTTAAAGGAACGCGCTGGCAGGAATAATTCTATCCGCTTCCCCTTCTCGCTCTCCTTTTTCTTCCTCCCTGTCTTTGTCCCCTTTGACCATTCAATGGAAGAAAGATATTATTAATAGTGGCAAATATCCTAAATAAATTAACATATCAGCATTATCTCGGCATTAGGTGTAAAGCGAAGATTTAAGTAAAAAGTGCAAAAGTTTGTGTATAAGAAAAGCAATAATGAAATAAAAAAGGAAAACAAACTGCCAGCAAAGAACGCATAAATCTGACGAATCAAACAGTAAATCTTATTTCTTTATAAGAAAGTCTCTCTCTCTCTCTCTCGTTCTCTTTCGGTTCTCTATTTTTGGATTTTCGCAAGATGTTGCAAACGTTAGCTTCGAACCTTTTAAATCTGCGATGCTTTCGCAGTTTAAAAGCGATAAGATAGGGGAACGAGAAGCGAGAAAGTGAAGTAAGTAGCATCCTTTATATTTTGCAACGTATTTGACAACAATTTGAGCTTTGTTAAAACTACGCACATAGTTATGCATACCTACCATAATGTTACCTAAAAATGTATATCGTTACGTATGCTTCCATTCATTCAATTCCTATCGTGTGTTCCTGTAACAAACGAAACGTGTGGAAAGAATTTATATTTAAAGCAACAAATTCTATTCGGTTTATATTGTATACACACACACACGTATGTACACAAATATTGGCAACAAAAGCCGGATATGCTTAAAAAAGAATATATTTTTTTTTTTCTTTTTGTTCTTTTATTCCTTTCTCCCCCCCCCCTTCTTTATCTTAAGCTGAAAATGCAAATTTGATTTTGTTATATGCTTCGCATTGTATATACCATTCTATATTTGTAAGCGTTTTTATATGCAGCGAGCATAGTAAGAATATTGTATATATTTATATATAAATGCAATTTGTACTTTATATGCTTAAATGTTATTTAACTTATGCTTAACTTAAGACACCAAGAAATAAAACATTAGATTTTAAATATACAAATGCAAGCAAAATGCAGAAATTTCTTTAAATTCTCTCTCTCTCCTAACACTTACTTATTCCCTTCAAATAGTCTTATACCCACGCAATTCATCAGAAATGAGGTAAAGTACTTTTCATGTTTGTAAGAACGAGAAATACATTTTAAAAAATCTCTCAAGCGTTGTTAATTAATAGGAAGTTTCATCAGTCCTTTCAATTTTTTTTGTATCCAATTTAACAATATTTGGCCAATCAATGCTCAGAAACTCCAACGTACGCTCTTTCAGTTAATTCGTATGATAGCCATTTTCTCTCCTTTTGGATCGTGGAAACAGTTGCTTCATCAGCTAAATGATCAAATTTGATCGTTGTGCGCACATTGATACTTCGTATCATTTCCGCCGATAAATGTCGCTGATCAAAATACATACAGGCGCCTAATATGAGGTTTTATTTTGGCTTTACTGTAGCACAAAATTATGTATTGCGATCATTTAGTCACATTTTCAGTCCGTGTCTGTGTGCTGTTATTTAAAGGCTTTAAACTAGAAACCAATATAGAACGAATTCACCGTAAACAACAGTTTATCAACAGTTTTTTTAGTCCAATGCTGTTAGTAACTTGTCAACCATAGCAGGCATCGTTTCAATTTGATATTTGCTATTGCATTAGTCCTTTATGGCTTCAAAAATAACTTTGAAAACTAGTAAGACTACAGTGGGCCACGGCTCGCAAAGAAATACGCTAAGTCACTCGTGCTTATTCATATGATGATTTTTCAAATTAAGGCAATATATGGGAAGTGATCGAAAAAGTGCTACGATCCGAACCATTTTCCATAGCTTTCATATTTGGAGATTGGCAAAAACGTGAACCAAATTTCATCAAAATATCTCAAAAATTGCAGCCTGTAGGTTGAACACAAGAAAACAAGACAGACAGACGGATAGATAATCTTAATCTTAATTGAAAGCGATTCTGAATCGATCGGTATAATAAATGTTGGATCTATCTCAGTTCCGCCTGTATGTTACATACATCCGCGCAAACTTATTTGTACTACGACAACTACTGATGTAAGGTATAATTAACAAACAACTTGCTAAAGTTTAGACGATATTTCCTTGAGTGAGCTTCTATCTAAAATTCCCTTTAAAGCGAATATAACTCACTTGTCGTTTTAGTATGAAATTTGCATAAAATGCAACCAATGTTTTGCACAAACTTTCTCATCAGCATAAAAAGGGAAAATTCTAACCTCAGTATATTTTCAAAAAAACGAATTGTTTACGTCATGTTGCCTTCATGACAGGTAATACCATAACCTTAACAACAGATTCACCGACTAAACTGTGCAATGCTGCACACACATGGTGAGAGTTTATGAGATGCGGAAAAAAGTATTATATTAATGCAGCAGAAGATCGTATATTTCCACTTGCTATCCCCTTATTTTTTCTTATTTCCTTTAGTTTTTTTTTTTTCATTTTTTTTTTTTTCACTTTTTTTAACAAACGATAATTTTTCAGTAAGTTTGATTATGTGCACCATTAAGTGAAGAAATTTTTTTTTTTATGCAAACAGCACAACATCGTCTTCTCTCAACTAGTGTAAGAAACAAGCAAAGTTTTACACTATAGCATATAATAGAAAGAAAGAAAGAGGGAAGAAAAATAGAAGAGAAGACGGTAGACGTCATTAGGCGGCAACATATGCGAATAAGAAGCGTAAAGAAATCGTGTTTTGTTTATTATATACATAAGAGAAGATGCCGATAATAAACACACACACAGTATTACCTTAATGGAAATATGCCATAAGGAGAGCTGCATTTTTATTGCTTATATTTGTAGGTGAATTAAATTCTGCCAAACTTTTATAAACCGCGGCGCCGCAGAACAGAACACAGATTGCATCGCCTTCCTAATAATTATGAATTTTTAAAATAATTTAACTATCAATTCTTCGATACTTTACACGTTGGCATGGGAAAAATCCAATCTTATCATTTAATTAGTCCTTGAACCAACGCAAAACAAAAAAGGACAAAGCGATGTTCTGATCGTGGTCTAATAATCTATCAGTGCCATTAGTATACGAATTTTTCTGACAGGTCTGTACTGGACGTGTGCTAAAGTTTTTATGCCCTACATCGCTGCTAGGGTATATTCAGTTAGCGTGGATGTATGCAACGCCCAGCAGAATTTCACATAACCCACCTTTATTATACTTATTGTTTGGAAATCATTTACTGGATCCACCTTATCTTAGCTGCCCGTCTGTCCATCTTGTATGCTTGTATTCCACGTACAATTTTTGAGACATTGTGACGAAAGTTGTTTCACGCTTTTTCCAATGTCCGACCAGGAAATTGGTTCGGATCGAAGTACTTTTTCTATTGCTTTCCATAAATTGTGAAAAATGGTTATACGAATAACTGTAGCGTGGTGTAGGGTATTCAATGGTGTGTCGTGGGCCGTTATAATATTTTTACTTGTTTAATAATGACAGGGGCGTCTGTAAGCAGATTGGTATCATACTTTGCTGCATTTTTTGGAAATTTTTAGTTTATGGGCGAATTACGTAAGTGTTTGAACTTTATTGGACGAATCTAAAAGTATATGTTATCGTGTCGTGGGCTAAATCGTCCCAGTATGACGATGAAAATTCTTTTTTTTTAATATATTCATTTTGTCAAAAGATAGAAATCCATAAAGTGTGTGCAGTCTCGATCAGCATCAAATTCTGAATCGATTTAAGCATGTCGTCTGTCCTGTTGCTCACCTGTCCATCTGTCCGTCTGCCCAACTATGTAGTGTTTGTGGTAAACACTCTCACGTTGGCGCATATGAAAAGATCGCCTACAACTTTGCAAAAGAATTTGGAATCGACCTAAACTTTTCAAAGGACACGCCGACAAGGCCCACATGTTTATAAGATAAAACTTTTATTTTGAAAACAGGAAGTATCAGCAGCCCTCACTCCGTACTATAGAACATCAAAATTTAATCCTTTCCCTTTTTTAGGATCAGGGTGACGGGTATAAAAGGTTCAGTCGGGACAATATATAATTTTCTTGTCATCCTTTTTTCGGCTTTGCTCTGGAATTGTGTTAGATTTTTCAACGAAAGACTTGTTCATGTGGCTTTTTTGAATCTATTGTATACCGAACAAACAAAAAATGTATATAACATTTTTTTGAGTTGAGCCTTCATTTTCTGCTTTAACTTCTGAGTGATTTTCGATGTCAAGGAGCATATTTCTAACCGGCCGAAGATATAAGCCCAACCTTTTTTTAATTGAGAAGGCTATTGTATAACAGTCGAACAAAACAAACAAAGTTGCGTTTAGAATATCACAAAAACACACTGCTGACGAGCTTTTCAAATTTTTCTTTCGGAACTATTCAATGTTTTAGATAATGCGAGTCATGTCAAGGACTGGTGACGATCATTTCTAAAGTCGATCTTTCCAATTTAATTTCTCATTTGAATATTTTCTACATTTCTCATTTATTTTTTCAAAGGCAGCAGTAAGACTATCAGAAGGACAGGCGGACGGATATAGCGACATCGAACCAAGATTCGGTGTCCATACCAAAAACGTGCATACATTGTATTCAACTTGTGTTTCCTTTTCGTTGGACAGCTGCAAATGCAACCATGAAACATGTAGGCTATCATATTTCAAAGGTGGTGGTTCATTTTCGAAAAAACTTTCTCAAGATAAAATATAGTGACAGTTGGTGCCCTTCTTCTCATAACTCGTCCATAGTATATTCCACTTACCGCATTACGTGAAGGCACAAACTGTAACATCAAACCAAATAGAGACCCATATACGAGGCCAATGCCGATTCCAATCGGACCTTGTAGCAGCTGTTCACTTAAGTGACCTTAAAGTTTATTACAAGAAAATCGTTCATATCACATGCGTTAAAGTAGTGTACCTTTTGAAAAGATTATGCCTATCATAACACCGAATAGAAATATCGCTAATATGTCATTACAGGCGGTCATGGCGTAGATGAGAGTATGAATTCCATCGTTAAGACCTAAACGTTCTTCCTTCAATTTGAGCATAACGGTTACGACTACATTAGGCGAGACGGCGGTTATTATCAAGCTGCGAAAAAAGGAAATATGGTGTCTTTAATATAAAAATTTTTAGGAAAAATAGTAGACGGAAAGGAAAACTCATGTTAATCAACCACATGAACGACTTAATTTATTGCATTTCACATAACCATTATAATTAGATAAGTGCCCTTTTCTTTTTTATTTTCTTTCTTTCTTGCGCTCATACGTAAAGAGTCATAGAAGGAAATAACAAAAAGGGTTCCAACATGTCGTCTCCCATCCGTTTCGTAATCGTATATATGTATGTAAAACCGGCAGCCATCAAACATCAACATCATCATTATCATCAGTAAACTGTCAACGTTTAGCAAGAATGTATCGTCAGATGTTATGATATTGTACGAAGTGACAGTAGTAGCAACAGAACCAACAGTAGTGGTAGTAGTAGTAGTAGTAGTAGTGGCCGTAGTAAAGAATTTGTATGAAATGATATCATGGCTGGCAATAAGTCAGCCTGGAGTGTAGCAGTAAAAGTCGAGAAAATTAAAAATTCTAGTGTCATTAGCATAAGACTTCTTCAACAACTTGTTTAAGTGTATATATCATATAAGTGCAACTGCATTTTTTTGTTCCTTTTTTGAGTAAAGTGCAGACATATTCGGTACATAAGCATAAAACTACCCAAAAAAATGAGAATTAAAAGAATGAGAAAAGAAATAATTGCACGAGTAAAGGCTTAACGTGAATACTTTTGTGTTAGGCGAACAAACGTTGCGAAAATATTTTTATAAAAAACGCATACATACATCTACTTCACATTACTACACATATACATACATAAATGTGAACGTACTCAAGCATATATACAGTTATATCTACATGGGTGCATGCATATGTACATACATACATACATGCATGCATGCATGCATGCATGGAAAGTATTACGATTATAAAATTTAAGAATTTGTAATTTTTTACTAAGCACTTGTTAGGCGGCATTCGAGGTGCATTGCATAAGTGCGCACGTTTGTGTGGTGTCTGCCATAATAGAAATTTTACGTTAGAAGGAAAGTTTCACTGTGTTTAAAAATTACATACCATGCTTATAAAACTCTTACACAGTCTATCTATTATATGTGTATATAGGCAGTCTTCCTTTTTCCCTATCCTTTTCTCTCTCGCTCTCTATGGTTTGCCAGAAGACTAATGCCACTTAAGATACAACTAGAAAGAAGAATGGCACAAGTACTCAACGAGTATACATCTAATTATTAAAAATGCTATCTATTTTCATATATGTGGCCCGTATTATGTGGTACACACGCACATACTATTACTACGACTACCACTCGTATATCGGTATATCACAAATACTATTATGTAGAAGCGAATAGTCGTTAGATACACTGCTATTTACGTAAATTTGTGTGTGGTGAATGTATGCGTGTGTATGTGCATGTGCATGTGCATGTGCTTGTGTTTGCTGAAAATCACTAGTCGTAGCGCGGTTTATAATATATGACTTCATTTAGTTTTGCATAAAAATTTTAAAAAGTGTCGTTCTTTTCTTTTTCCCCTTTGCTGAGAAATGATGTGTTTGCCACCCATACTAGAATTAGGCGGAAAAAGTTTTTCACCTGTTCATTTTTTAATCTAAAATTGGGATGGATACCCAACAATAAGCTTTCTTCTGTAAAAACTCTGACTGACTCAGTCCGGATACATGTGTGTATAGCAATCATCAATAAAAACACTTCTTAATAGAGAGATAACTCTTGATAACTCTTGTATGAAAAATGTTGTGGTCAAAGCAACGAATGTTGTTTTGTTGATGAGAACTTTGAAAAAGTTTATGCTATACTTTTGAAGAGATATCGGTAACCACAAGCTGTTGCTCTCAAGTGACATTATTATACCTAACAATTTAAAAGAAGCGGGTCCAAATTGACATCTTAGGAGTTAAGAGAATTTGTTCATAACATGATAATATATGTGTCCTAAAATTGAGTGGGCTGGTGCTGTCTAACTAGAATTTGTTTCGATCTCTATTGAAATTATTGATTTTAAACAAGTTCGATGAAGGGCATCTAAAAACCACCTATTACCATTTCTCGATCAAGTCACATACTCAAGTCAAGTTACAAGTCACAAACTCAAACTTATAGATGAGGAAAAAGTAGATAAATAAATCGAAAAATAAGGAAAAAGATTGATTTGGATTCTGATAGCATATATATTATAACCACGATAGGGTGACTAGGGTCGATTTTTTCTATTGTTTACACGTACTGCAGGATAGATAATCCATGCCATATAATTGGAAACTTTAATCGCCGCTGAACGTATTGCAGTTTGAGTGAAGGGAAAAAACTCAATTTTTTTCTTTTAAAACCCGGAAGTGCTCTAAACTTGGATCGCCAATCTACTTACAAGTAATTCTAACGTCGTTGCAAAATTTGCCGACCACATATTAATATTTGCTACCGGAAGAATATTTCCCACTACGGATAGGTCGGCAGACAGATGGACAAACGGATCCAGAATTTAAACTAATCAAGGATCTTAACAATTTCTTAACTTTCGAAGAGTGTCTTTGCGATATCACATAATATTACGTCCCACTAACAACAAATGTGCTTTCAAGTTTAACCGATATTGGGTGAATACGTTTCCCGTATGGCCCTTTTAGCTTGACCTTCTACTCATTTAATTTTTCATTTGAATTTCTCTGAACAAAAGCAATGAATGCTTCAAGGAAATCGTGAAAAGCATATTTGTTTTTTTAGAAATTTAAAGGAAATCAATGATAAGAAAGAGTGCGTATGTGATTTCACAAGATATTTGGGTTTTTTTAAAGGCATTTTTGGCATTTCAAGAGTTAATGCAGCGTAAAAGTAAGTAAAGCGTTTTATTCGCTGAAAAAAATCTCAGCTAAATTCAAGGTACCTATCGACTACAGGCAATGAGCAAACGTCTGATAGAACGCTAATGAAATTGTTTGGAAAATCCTTGAACCTTTCGCATACCTTCTCCCAGTATGCAAATGAACGGGAGAAAAATAACGTATTTTTATAAGCGAATTCATTTTCATTTCACAGTTATATGAACATAAGAAAAACAACTGCACCAGTTTGTGTATGCGTACGTGTGCTTCTGCATAAAGGTCGTTTTAACGTACGTAAAAATGAACATTTTGTTTCTTTAGCTGACAATTATTGCGCGCCTTGGGTGCTTGTCACACATTGAACCGCTTCCATCTTCGCCATCATTGCCATAACGTAAGTCGGGAAGTAGGTGCGAGGTTTGCTAATGAAATTGTATTAAATTGCCAAGTGTCAAATTAAATGGGCAGTTCGGGCCAACTAACAACTCTTTCGCGGTGAGTGCATAGCAGTTTTGCATATTTAATAATTGTGCGAAATTTTGCAGCCAAAAAACTACACAAAATACGTGCACTCACATATACACGGATACAGTTATGTTGTTATTATACAATATTGAAATTTATATTTTTTAATATTACGCCTTGCTCAAGGCAACATGGTAATGAGGGAGCATTTGTTCCTTCATTTATATGTATGCATAAAATGTATCTTCAATGCGCAAAATTAAAACTTACCCCAAACAAACGCCCCACAGCCACGGCATGCTTAAAAGGAATCGACCCAAAATTGCAATAATGGCTACTTCAGCCACAGTGGGTATCAAAGTCAAGCGTAAAATCATAAACCACAATTTCTTAAAAGCATTGGCATTCAAACCCAACCCAGCCAAGAGCATAATATTTATTAAAGCCATTTCTCTGAATAAAAGAAAGAAAGCTTTCCAAGTGAAAGAACAAAATAGAAAACAAAAAAAAAAAAAACAAAAAAAAAACAAAAAAATAAGAACAATAAAGAAAACTCACCTTAAAAAAGCTTCAAATTTTTCATAATCTTTAAAATTGGCCCAACCTAGATTGGCGTATAGAACACCAAAGAACAGCATACCTAGCATATCAGGCAATTGTATGAATGTGAATAAAACGCCAATCGTTTGAGCTCCAATAAACAAGAAAATTATACGCATAACAACTGTATGCGGTAATGCATACGTTGGCATCAATATATATCCAATAGTCCAAAGTGATAAAAAGATGAAAATTATCGCTAAAGGTTCTGACATTATGGGCCAATTTCTAACCAAGTAAAGCCATCTGCAAAAGACATTTTTTTTTTTTTTTCTTGTTTGGATTAAATATGTTAAGTAAAATAATATGCTTTTATTTCTGGTTAAACTCGTTGCATCTTCTCAACAATCCACACGTTCACCGCGCATTAAAAGTGTTTAAAAGTTCGGTCATATGGAAAAAGAAAACTAAAAAAAGTTGTATTCTATTCTCAGTAGCTTTTTTTAGAAGAATATGCTAAAGCAGATGAAATAACTGCGTTTGCCTTAGAACGAATATCTTTACAAACGGACCATTATTCTGATTAAAACCAATACAAGTTTTGGAAAGATGAAATGTTGAGGAAACTTGAAGGCCAATGAAGAACTGGAATGAGAGTCTGCTACCGTAAAGTAACGGATAGTAATAAAATCCTTGATATATGCGAGAGGCTAGCAACAAATACGTATGGAAATGAAAGCTTCATCTTAGGTAGAGTCTCTTTTATGTTCATCGTTTAGGTACTCGAAAATAATTTATTCAAAAATATGTACTTTTTTCTTAATCTATCTCACAATATTAATTAATATGAATTATTTTACTTATACGATAGGTATAAATTACTAATAATTATGCATTTGATAGAAATATCTGAATTGATAGGTTATGTAGCTCTCAAACCTTTAAGGAACAGGTGTGAATGCTTCTCTCTTGCTGCGGAACACTTGAGCATATTTGCTACGAACTTTAGTTGCCCGAATTTGACATTTCGTCCTTGAAATACAGCAAATTTTAATCATAATTCGCTCTTTTCCAGGAGAAGCAGATCCAAATTTAGCTCTCTTACGGCATAGAACTATTTTAGCCATATTACCAGGGCTCAATTATTATTATATTTGCTATGCTTCGCAAGTACTTGTTGTAAAACTAACAATGAGAAGCATTTTGCGCAACGCTATTTACGTACCTCGGTCCTTAACTTATTTATGAAAAATGTAATCCATATATCCGGACAAGTGTATGTTTTAATAAATTTAGATTTTAGAGCGGGCAACAACAAACAACGACAAATAGATTTACCTCCAGATGTTTCCCTGCTCTAATGAGTAAATAGGATTTTTGTGAATTATTTAATTATATTTTTTAGAAACTTTTATTATATTATTCGGTAGAAAATATGCCATTTATGACTTTACACCTCCACCCACCTGTTTTTAAGATTACGTTCTAAGGTTGTACGTATATTTTTTACAATGCTGGTCTTGTTCTTTGAAATTTAACAAATCAACTCTCTTGACTCCCCTAACTTTGCTCAGCAAGTTACTAATAATGTTTTCATGTTAACCGCAGCTGAGTACGCAGGTAAAACATGATGAATCTGCTTATGTTTATCCTATCTTTAGTATATAGTTTCTTAGAAAGTCAGATAGTTTTCACGCGGACTCATAACCATATTTAAGCCTTGCTTTAGGAAAATAGGAAGCAATTCACGACAAAATGTTTGCAATATTTTCTTTAACCGCATAAAAACTGGGCACTTTTTTTCTCCATTCACATGACATTTGAATTTCAATACCTAATACGTTGAATTATCATGGCCCTTAGATGGCCATCTTTAGAATGCAACGCGGAGCTAGTTAGAACATTGCTAGAATTTCGTTTCGCAATTATTGCAAAATAACAAAAACAACTTGGCTTAATCCGCGAAAAGCCTTATTAAGTTGAGTTTGTCCATATAATTATAGTATGCCTGCGGTAAGATTTTCCAAAACGCAATCAGGTCGATACGCCTGAAACACGTTAAACTTAAATGTTAAATTGAACAAAAGATTTCATTAAAATCCGGAAAGCGTAGAGTAGCAAGTTAAAAAGAAAGAAAATAAGCAACAAAGCGTACGATAACGGTGTGCGTGTTAACCGACAAAAAGATTGTCGTGCTTCAAGATACACTCGAGGTGTTTGCGGTGTCACAGATAAATAGCGTTTAAATGAGTCACAAAAGATTCAAAATATTTAACAAGCTCAACCGCAATGTCACTTAGAAGACCCGCTATGCAGACAAACTCGCCTACATAATAAGAACAATGTAATCATTATACAAAAAAGTCACATTCTCAGCGTCCTAAACCCTGAAACATTGTTTAACACAATAGCTTCTGTTCTACTGTTTCGCCTTCTAATTGTGAAACAAGTAATTTAGTTAAACACAGGTAAAATACATAGACAAACAAGTAAACAAATAAACAAAATTGCACACTTGCTGCAATATCGCCGCAAAGTAAGCAAATGTCTGAGTGTTTTATGTTCACACTCGTGCTGGATAAAAGAGCAGTAGAGTGCACTTGAAATAAACGAAAATTAAACAAAAAAAAAAAAAAAAACGAACCAGAGAGGCATAAAAGTGAATGCTAGATTTTGTTCTACTATATGCCGGAACCGTATATGAGATGGGACGTGCAAAAAGTATTGAGCCATGATTCGAAATTTCATATCACTTCTAAACTATGTTTAGTAGATTTTTTTTAAGGCTTACATTTTTGGTCCTTTGTATTGATGGTCATCATATTTTTCATTTTCTCTTGGCCTTCCTTCACTCCCGAATCTTGTTAGCGAGTTATCGGCATTTGTTGTTGTTAACGATATTGGCGTTAAAGTTATAGGACCGTTTAATTCGTTATTGTTGTCAGTAGGCGGCAACATTTCCATATGAAAATATTTACGCTTCCAATTTGGAGGAGGATATCGTCTGTCCTTGCCTTGTTGCTTGATATGCGACTCACGAGCGTAACACTCCAATCACTCCACTACAATTTATCTGCAAATAAATGCGATTGTTTTTTATCTTCTAACTTCGGAGATAATGTATTCACTGCTAGTTATAAATTTTACTCTCTAATACACAAACTATTCTTTACAGGAAAGTAATAAATACAATAATAAATGACTTATGTAATAATTAACAATTCATTTGCAATTACAACAGTTACCGACCTATTTTTGACTCTGCGATAGTCACCGGTATTTTAATTATAAGGCCTACGTTGTGCCTGTAGCCGGTGTTCGCTAACGAGAAGAAGTGCTTTAGATGAAAAAAGAAAATTATTAAAAAACAATAATTAAAAAATAGGTGACTATCTGGTTATGCCAAAGTCGGCGTTTGTAAAATTCCGAAAACTACTACAATATTCCAATGCGTTCATGCGTACGTACATGCCCTTGAAGGCTCATTTAGCAAGCTTCACATTTTTATCTGGTAAAAATTGTGACCATAACTCGTGAAGGTTCAGAAAGAATATTCCTTGCTCTCAACTTTACAAAGATTTTCTTTACAATATTTGAGATTGCTCAGGTCTTTTTTCTAAAATTCTTTATACGATCTTTTTATCTTTCTTAAAGATACGTAAGATGACAGATTGGACAATGTTAAGGGCGAATCGATTACAACAACTTCTTCCAGTTCCGGCAAAAGGTTTCAAAAAAAACCAAATAAAAAAATTGTATTCGGTCGTGACCGAGTTTGGTATATCCGTCATCGTTACCGTACACCGTTATCCTAACAAGGACAAAAAAAAAAAGATTGAAAATAACTAAATTATCTTATTTTACAATGTTGAATGGGCGTGGCCGGTTTTTTCTATTTTCACTATCAAAGTAGAAACACGCGTACATATACGATGCACGGTGTTCACAGTTTTTGTAACATAGGCGTGTGAGCGTTGTAGATGTGTTTTTTTTTTGATCGGTTTGGGTTACTTTCAAATTCGGATACTACATAACTGGAGAGGCGGACAAAACAAATGGAAATGCTTAGATGCATTTCGACGTTGCAACTGTCCAAGAATTTGTATGTTTTACTACTCAAAACTATATATTGATTCGGTGCGATATTGGCTGAGCGAGATCAATTTTTTCCATTTCCAGATTCACCCACAAAATATAGATTCAAATTTCCCGGGATTTATCTGCTGTAGTTTACGAACGATGAGTAGATGATTACGCAGACGGACAGACGGACAAGCTTAAATCAATTCAGAAATTGATGTTAATGAGAAATATATAAACTTTGTGTAGACTCTGCAGCTTCCCTCTGGACGTTGCAAACATTTTGATAAAATCAATACTCATCTACTCACGAATTCTGTTATCGTTTAATCTTTTCTTAACCAAATACTCAGTCAAAGCAGATTTTGCCAAGTTTCAACATTTCTGAAACAAAACATTTTCACTATATTCGCTTGTCTGAAATGATCTGATCAATAGACCTTTTCGGAATTCATGGTAGTGTATTTAGGGGAAAGGTAATGAAAGTCGCCGTGCAACAATACATCTTTGCTGCCAGCATCGTTATGTGTACACGTTAAAGTACGGCGTTTCTGAACAACGAACGAGTATGGTTTGTACATTGAATTCCAAGACGCAAAAGTATTGATATTTCTTTCATGTTTTTGAATTTGTGCGTGCATCTTAGGTAAGGGAGAAGGGAAGAAAGCTGGCGTGACTCCGCGAAGCGGGTGTAAGCAGTTTAAGCAATTATTTATACAAACCATGCTCTTGAGCTGGCAATTATAGCCGAGATACTGCTTAAAATATGCAGAGGAGTTTGATATGTCAAGTGAACTTCTTCTTCTTGAGTGCTACCCTCTATATATACATAGGCAAACCCATACACGAATACACACAAACACATACAAGCATAGTATCCGTTTACCCAAGACAAAGCAATATTCTCGTATTTACTCCTTACATACATGCATTATTCAGTCTGTAGCGCATTTAGTAACATTTTCGCCTTAACCCCATAGGGTCTCCCGAAGGCGTTTATTAAAATTATAATACTTAACTGCTGTTGCCTACGATGTTCTGATATGATTGCGTGGAGTATTAACGAGCTGCCAGTTAAGGCATTTCTCATTTACACTGTTGTTCCAACTGAATAAAACAATTAAAAACAATATCCCCTAACAATTCATCCCTTCGTTCTGTGCTTGAAATTTATATCCTTGTTTCTTACGTTATATCCATCCTAACGTTTGCTGCGCATAAGATATACAGACGAAAAGGAATCATAGCGAAATAGAGATATTAAGATACATAGATCGATAAGTCCAGGGACTAAGTAAGAAAAATAAACATTTCTTGTTTGCTAAACTGGACTTTACTCATCGACGCAGTCTCTTCCTAGAATCGCACAATCAATTGTCCAACGCTATGGAAGCACCTTCTAGTCGCACGATTTGTAACGTCTCTGAAAACATCAGTTCCCGCAATCCATTCAATATTTGATGCAAATGGAGCGTAATTCTGGAAATAGATAATAGTCGTCGGGATCTATTCGTGGAGAAGAGGATGGGTGTGGCAGGAAAACAAAATTCAATTCATAAAAATTTGCCATCGACTAGCGCCGGTGTTTTTCTCACTGTAAGCAAACCTGATATTGATTTGGAAAACAAATATCTGAGGCTTAAATTTTCATACAAAATAGTGAAAAGAGTCCGTTTTAATATCCTTACCCCGTGAGTTTCTTTCTGCAGTTTCACTTTTCGATTATTGAGAAAATTTTCTAAGTTCAAGTGAAAAGACTTCCTTTGGACGTTTACTGTATTCAGCAGCACAAATTGTTGTTCACAGCGATGACAATTTTCAAACTAATACTGATTTCGAACGATGATTTTGCCCCTTCAAAGGCCAACCTTTAATCGACAAAGACAAGTTGGATATTCTGATGATTTTTTGAGAATGAAAAAAGTAGGACCGCTGAAACTAGCCTAACTCGTAAGGAAGTGTTCGAAACGATATGAAATTTTGATAAAAGCCATTTGGGTGATGATAGTAATAGGGAGCAAGTCCCGGGAATTATTGAACGATATGCTGAAGGACGATATATTTGACTAACAAAAGACAATCTAAGCACTTCTGAGAAAGCAGTAATTAAAACCATGTTGTGGTGCTCTTTATAGAAAGTAAATCAAGTTTTACTTTATTTTTCTTTAGCTTAGAAGAGAGCGGTTTGCGAAAATTGATATTTTCAGCTACGATTAATAAATCAAATGTTTTACTTACTTAAGTGTGAAACACACATGCGTAATATCGGAAAAGAGAGACGCGGTCCAGTCTCCATAATTTTCTTTTTTTCTAAGCCAAATTTTACTCTTTCACTTTACCGTTAGACAAAATTCACAATCGATTATCATTTTTCACCTGGTTAGGGGAAGGACTTCAATTTACTAAGCAAGATGCAGCTAACTACTAGTACATTTCTTTAATATCTTAATGTATGTGTGCATAAACATTTATGTTGTGTTGAAATGTATTTGTGTTTGCCTGAGCATTAAAGTAATGACGACACGAGTACTACTTTGTCTAATAAAAGTAAATAAATCAAATGTTTGTCATTAACAGCCGGTACATTTCATTATGAAATGCGTTGTATAAGCTCTTGGCACTATTTCTATTTGGCCTTCAAAGTGTTTTAGTCATTTCGCATTAATTTAATGCAAATATTTACATGCGCGGTGAAGCTTCTGCAAGATTTTGTTGTACAAACAATAATGATTTATATACTATGATTAAAAAAGTTTTTTATTTTTTTTTTTTTTAGACTAAGACCCATTCGTTGAACTAGATTTCTGTCCCAGTTTTAGTATTCTGCAATTCTCACCTTAAGATTTACAGCAGTTTTCCGTAAGAGAAGACTAATAATCATTTTTAAGGACTAATAAAATTACACACACAACAAAGATGTATCAGTGATGCCTTGCCCCTTCCCTTACGTTCCATTTTTCCCATATTGAAATACCCGAATTAAAAATCCAAGGTGATTTATCCATATATTTTTTTGTTTGTCCATCCGTCCGCTCTTCCAGTTCTCACGACCAGAGAATTGGAAATTCAAGATTTAAATTTCTTACCTCCATTCTTTATACAGATAATAGGATGTCATTTTCGATATGAATGGATTTGCGCAACTGTCGGCAGGAAAAGTTGCAATTCGCAATCAGCGAATGTTGTATGCACTCTTTTGTTATTAAAGGTCATGCAGTTCGCTAACAATGTCTGTTTAGATTACGAAATATCGTCAATTTCATTCATGGGCTATTTTTACTAATCATTGCTTAAGTACTGCTTAAGACATATGAACTTTGCACTGAAATGATTTAAATGTTTTTTCATTTTTTTCTACTTCGCTATCAACCACGTGCGCAGAACTAAACTGACCTGACTGAATTGATTCACCGACGCAAAGACGAGCGAACAAGGTTTAATTTATTATTCGTTTCGTTTGCGATGACTGTTCTTTTCGGAAAAATGCTCGCATAAATCTAACAAATGTCTTTAAGGGTACTATGCTGTACTGAGATGCATGCCACAATTTATTATATGAGATGATATCGAAAATTTGACTAAGATGAGTGATTTTAAAGCCTTTAAATGCGAAGAGTAATAGACAGGACTTGCTTTCGGAGTTCGCTCAGTATGATCTACAATTTAAAACACTTTGTCTCTTCAAGTTACAATCAGAGACACTACGGGACTTTATCCAATGTAACCATAATTATATAAATTAAATATGGAAAACATGTACTTCTCCTTTGGCTTAAAGATTCATCTTTGATGTATTGAAGTCGTTGGGCACAAAGCAAAGAGTACGGCAGACTTCATTATATAATGTAATGTTGAATAAGTCCCTACAATCTCTTTATCTCGCTAGCTTGTTAGACGCTATTGATGATTCCACTAGCGCTTAGCGATAATCTTCATATCGCTTTGCTTGAATATTGTAGAAATAGCTCATCAATTTTGTGAAAAGAATTCGGTTTTTATGTAACAATGTCACCTTGCCCTTATCCCAATATAGGCAGGAGAAATTATGAGGTAAACTATTCGTTTCGGTCCCTAATTTCACCTCGAAAAATATCAAAGAGTCTATCTATGCGGTGAGGTATAACTATTCTCAAACAAATGATTGGCAAACTTTTTTCATGTTTGAGTCTACATAGGGTACATCTTCGGCCGATATGCTGGTCCCATTAAGATTTAAAGGCTGTGAACGTGCATTAATGCCACAGTGCATGTACAAATTTTGTTTCTGTTATTTATATTTTCTAAATTTTAATTTTGTTTTAATTGCATTTTTGATTTAGTTTTTAATAATTTCCATTTCACTTGAAAGTGGAGCCATCAACGAAGGACGAGAGGTATATTCAATTTAACAAAATGTTTGCAACGCCCAGAAGGAAGCTTCAGAGATCCCACAAAGTATATATATATTCTTGATCAGTAACAATCTAAATCAATTTAAGCATGTCCCTCTGTCCGTCTGTCCGTTTGTCCGTTTGGGTAATGTCTATTGTCGTGGCCGCAAAACTGAGGCTTTCAAGACAGAATTTGCAAAGAAGTCAAAATTTCAAAGTACTTGCCTATAACACACCCACACGCCAAACCTGTGAACATCATTGCTTTCTCCATGTTTGAGCATGAAAATCTCATTCTTCGCCCTTTTTTTTTTTTTAGATCATTTTCATAGGATGGATGATGGAGTGCAAAAGATTCGATCACGACTGAATATAATTTTTTTACTTGATTTTTTTTTTTTTTTCTTCTAATTGTTTTTGTACTGATAATTTGATTTGTAGCTGAGTTTTATTGAATGAATAAATAAATAAACAACAACAAAATATCACCATGTTGATTAAAAATGAAATTAGGAAACCTAACTATATATATATAGTTAGTTGCATAAAATACAAAACATTAATTAATTAAAAGAGCGGCAAACAAGTCCGCAGCGCAAATCTTTTTCAAGGTTTTTGTAAATTTTATAATTTCTCGTAAATTAATTATCAGAAACCAGCCCAAAAAATTTGCAAAAAATATTTATTTAACAAAACCCGAGAAGAATTCAGTATTCATATATTCATATAAGTCCCATATGCGAGGAGGAGATATGCGAGATTCGTTCTAATCACTAAGATTATTTGTTTAAAAAAAATTCATTAGCCACTGTTTGATTTAGTATACACGTCGCGCTATGCGTGATTAATGCAAAAACTATTGAAATGAAAAAAAAAAAAAAAAAAAAAGTTTGCTTTTATTTTCATATAATTAATGGTCATAAAGCGATTTCTTTCCATCCGGTTATCAAATTGCTCTTATGTGCATATACTTATTAAATGCAAAACGAAATTTTTAATTAAAATAAACAAAAACCTTCGACAGAAAATTTGTTAATATTATTTCTGGTTAAACTTAGTTGAGTAGCGTACTTGTAGTAGTATAAAGCAAATTAAAGCACTTGTGTTAAACCGTTTTTAAAGCAATAAAGATCCAGAAATGATGTGAAATTTATTAACGTTAAGATGGAACTAATCAAAAATGAACAAAAAAATTATTCCATTTTTTTCTTTCCTTTATTTTATTTTGCTTTCCTTACACTACACTATCGCTATCGAACCGTTCACGTGTGTAATTAGTTTGCATTGAATAAAATGAATGAAGATATGGAAGAAGATAAAGTGTTAATTTGCTTTTCACACACACACAAAAAAAAAAAAAGAACAGAAAAATGAGATTACTTCTCTTTGATTGTTGTTGTTTTTTTTTTATTTATTTATTTATGTATTTTTTTTTGCTCTTTTCATTTCTATTTATTTATATCGCATGCAAGCTGTTAATGAATTGTTGATAATTACTAAGCAAAATAAATGCTGTGTTGCTGGAGCAAATTAAGCGAGCAACAAATTGGGCAAAACAGTATAAAAAAAGTTGAAATTATACTTATTCTTAAGATCAGCTAATGTAATGATTAAGTGAAGTGATTTTAGGAAAACAAATTTTGCCTTTTTTTTGACGTCTAACTCTTAAGGTACATACTAGACGATGATGCTTAGAAGAAGATGCTTCAGCTAGTAAAAAAAAAATAAATATAGGAAATAATTTTGAATTTGTTCTAGTCACTATTATCGCAATTACCTAGCTCGGGATATCGCAACTAACATAATTGTCAACTATTTTTAGAAGAATACAATAGAATAAAGGTAAATGGATCATATCAAGGTCCTGTAGGCTGCTGGCTATAAAGGACTGTATGGGTCTGGAGTTGTGATCCGTCCCTAGTCATAAAACAACATATATTCTTGTTATAATAGCTTCTTTTCTAGTATATCAGTTTTGATATTCCGGAGGCATAGTCTAATCAATAAAATAGGGTTTTAAGTCCCGCAACCAACACAAAAACAAATTCCTTGTGATTTATGATGTCTCTTTGATGTTGCGAAGAATAGCGTCAAATGTTTAAAAGTGCACGAAATTCTACTTCTGTGATTCGCTAACAATTTTGTGGTGAGAGAAGAGATGCGACCAAAGCTTAAAATTTTTTACGGGAAATGTTTTCAGGTTTTCTTTTATTATTATTATTACTATTATTATTATTATAAATTTAGCCAGAGAATAAATTCTTAAAGCAGTAGCATCTAAGGCTATCGGCCGCTCAGGCGGATCAATTTTTCTACCTAAGGCTTATTGACTGTAATTTTCTGTCCGAAAATATGGTATAGATTTGCATTATTTTTTATCTCTGAATACAGGAATTTGAATAAATAGCTTTCGTATGTTTCAACTCCAACAATTTCATTAGAAAAGCATTGTTTTGAAGCAAATAGTAAAAAAAACTTGTAATAAATTTTAACTTAAAGAGCGCAGGCTAACTTGAATTTAGAAACGACTGCACGCTTTATCTCTGAATCGATAGCAACTATTATAACCGCAAGCATCACGCTAAAAATTTGCACTTCTCTTTCGCTGAAACAGTTATAAGGGGGAAATCTGATGTCCGCATTTGCTAAGGTAACATGCTTTTACCCAAGAGCAACCTATGAAGGAAATCCAAATATTATTACCACAGTTCCTTCTTGCATTATTCAAAAAGGAAAACATGAAGCTGGAAAATATTATCCACATATCCCATATGTAGTATCCGCATGTTCTCATAGTACTGTTCAAATGTCTTATTACTAATTGATAACAAGCTAAGTTGATGAACACAATCAATTTGACTATGTATGATATCCGTTGCATGCATTCGCCAGTAGCTTAAGTGTAGATTAAGCTACGACAAGAAAACAGAATATTGCCCCACATATTCATATCATTCATATGTTGCCAGAATGCATTCCTCGCTATGTTCATAGTGATTTGATAACACGGCTTACGCTTACATAACATGTCACATTTGCAATGAATGCTGTTATATATTATTACGATGCACAAAATGCTTTGATTATAAAGAACAACCAAAAAAAAGTAAATGAAATAATTTTCTTTTTTATATTCTTAATTAGTCTTTCGTTTTTCTCTAATCAAAATTCGCTCTTTGCATAAAAAGAAGTATGTTCTTTGCGCTTTCTTTAAGTTTGTAACGTCAAATGATATATAAATAATACGAACAAAAGCTTTAAGATAAATGTGTATACTTTTTATTTAATACATATTCAATTTCTTACGTTTCATTTGCCAAATGAATAAATACGAAACAACTTCCGGACAAAGTTTTGTATAAAAAGCAAAAAAAGGAGAAGAGATCAAAACACTTTTTCCACTGTTTCATTTGATCTTAAGAATAAGCAAATAAGAATAAGCAAGAGTAAGCAAAGTGGAAAGGCAAAGAATTTTGAAAATTTGCAAATTTACTGCCAGCATTTCAGGTTAACTTAACGCGTCCACTAGTAAATCTTCAAACGGTAGGAAATAAAGTCCACGTTGACGAGAGCAGTTAGCTTGGTATGCAAGGCAAGTCTCAAGGAAAAGAAAAATGCACAAGACTGCAGTACCACAGCTTAAACTTACGTTTTCAAGAATGATCGGGTGCTTCCATAGAAAAATTGGTAGGAAATAAAAGCGAGGACGGCTACAGAAGTAGTTTCTATTCCCTGTCTATGCATACAATACTTTTACGATAAATCGAATACTTTTGCTGTTTATTCCATACATTTTCCTGTGATTTATAATACGTAACAATAATCCTACTTGTTCTGCAAAGTTAACCCCAACAACTAGTCGCGGGATTCTTGCCAGCTAAAAATATATAGTTTTCCCTTAATTTATTATGTAATGAACAAGCCAAATACAGAGTTTTCCGAAATAATGGCATTTTCTTTTTTGCTAGTAGTTGCAAATAAGTTAAGGCTGCAGCATGGAATTTATCGGAAACACTATATTCCACATTAATAAACAACAACACCTGGATTAGAATGTATATGTGGTACGGCCGACCTAAAGGCGAAAATTCGTATCATTTAGTTACAAAAGACTCGCTCTTATACCGTTTGAAGAAACATATTGTATTCATAGCCTAGCACAGCCTTGCTTTTCATAGCACGATTGACATGAACTTAGTTTAGATTGCCTAAGCTCATCTAATCTAAATAACATTTAGGCGAATCGATTTCATCAACTTCTGCAAAACCGGCCTTCTGTTTTTAAACGCCAAGGGATACTTCCTTTTAAATAATTTACCGCACTCCGGACAGGTATGCAAGTTTCCTTTACTGTGCTGTATTAGATGACATTTTAAGGTGTCAACTCTTCTGAAGACCTTTTTACAGAAACTACATTTAAACGGCATATCATGGGTATAAAGGCGGCTATGTTTCACTAATAATTGAATTTGGTCTGGTTGGATTTGGTCGAATTGCGAATACAGCCTCGCTACTAGTACGTAAGCTGTTTTCGATCTAACTTGGAATAAAAATGTAAAGATTGAAAACAATTATGTGCTAATTTTTAGAAAATTAATTCCTAAAAACTCTTTCGATTTTTTAACAAATTAACTCCCAAAACTCCTTTACTTTTTGTAAGAAACAAGCTGCTTAGGTATTTCGAGAAAGTAACTCTCACAAATCCTTAGGCTTTTCAAGAAACGTAAGTCCTTTACCTCTTCAAGAATTTAGCTCCTAAAAATCCTTTAAGTTTTTCAAGGAACTCACTCCTATTGCTCCTTTCGTTTAGGTTTTTCAAGAAACGTAACTTTTTACAGCTCCTTTAAGATTTTTGATAGATTTGTCCTTGTAACTCCCTTACGATTTTTAAGAAAATAATTGTCTGTATAAAGAATGGGATTTTTGTTCTGCATTGCTCGCAATAGTAAAGTCATGTCAAGAAATTGAATGGATGGACTTTATTCTAAATGAACATTTTTCTATTACTCGTTGCAAAAAATAAGAAACGGAATCGAACAAGAAAAGCTAGTTTTACTTAAGTGTAAATATAAATTTATTATGATTACTCTCTTATACGCAGAAAAAATATACTCCGACTTACTACGACGAATACATAAAATACATAAATTGTCAAAGTTTTCGAAGGAAAAAAAAGCAAAGTTTTCTAACGATATGAATGACCAGAGTTTCTAGTTTCTCATTTGAAAATATTCTCACATCGGTCGATGGCGGTAAAGGCATCATAACTTTCAACTTCTACGTTATCATCAAATGCACACACACTTTGATGTTATTTGACTTTTTTTATTTTTTTATATATATTTTTTTTTTTGCTTTTCATTCAAAATTCTAGAAACTTGACGCTAATGTTGCATAAAAGTCCGAAAAACCATAATAAAGAAAGACTGAAAAATAATTTAAGTTTTTCGTACACAAATATTATGCGAATGTGCCGAAGTCAAAGAAGTTGTATATAAATGGTTTCTGCCCATGCGTTGGTGTATGCGTTTTGTACGAGCGAGTGTTTTTGTTTGATATGGTTCGTTGCAGGTGTTAATTTAATAAAATATGTGCTACTTTGCACTTATCACACAAACGTTAGAGCAAAAAAAAAAAAAAACTCCTTTCTTCATAAATTCGAAAAGAAATTTCGCAAGTTTCCGAAAACTTTTCCCGTACAATTTTTTGATACACAGACACAAAGAACGAATTCAATAGAGTAAATATTTGTTTCTAACTTTAGTGTTAATAAAAAAAAAAAAAAAAAAAAAAAAAAGAAAAGGAAAACGAAGAAGAAACCAAAGTTTATGGACACAATTCTCTATAATCATAATAATGAGTTAAATTCTCAGTTGAAACTATTATTATTTATCGTTGTTTGTGCGAAAGCCAGCCAGCAGCAAAGCAAGTGAATTCCCATAGCAACTAATTCATATAGAGTGTGCACACAATTGGGAAAAAGTTGAGTTTATAAATTGAATTTATAAAATTCAATGAAACAAAAACTCTTTCTTCTATTACATCCTAATAAATTATATAACGAAAATTTTTTAAGAAAATCATATTCGAAATAAAATGTTTCTACTTTTTTCAACTCTGTTAACTAGATGAGAAGACGGGGTTTAATTGTTTTATCGGATTTATTATTATTATTATTATTGTTATTAATTTCGTCAGAGAAGTGAATTTTAAGGCTAAACTAGCACTAAGGCTATCGGCTTTTTTATTAAAAAACTTTACCGCAGTTG